CCAGACTGGCTCATGCAGGCGCAAAGGAGCCGTGGAAAAAAAAAAGGTAAGCTTCAGCAAAACCACGATCATGGGCGGGGGTTGTGATTGAAATGATTAAACCCATCATCGTAAGTTTGCTGGTCCAGGATGCTAGTGGGCATTGCTGCCTTTGTGTATGCCTGCGCAACATGTGCCGCTGTCAGGATCACCCAGGTTTTGCTTTCCACTGGAGCGCTTTCTTGCTTGCATTAGCTTATGCGTTTTGTCCGGTGCCTGCTTGGGTATACCCAGCCCGAAGCAGACGGCCATGCAACTTTCAGCTTCATCCAGGATAGCTGCATGAGCTCCGAAACCCGGAGCAACAAATAGATTCCACATGGGCATCGGATCGTATGCCTTGTCGTATCGCCATGTATTGCCACGTAGTGTATCCTTCCCCCGAAAAAATTACAAAGTTTGGCTGCCGCTGGATTGTTTTACAATCGCCCATGACATCTTCAACAAATGCCAGCTCAGGCGGATATCTGTACAAAATGTGATTTGCACGGCAAAGCAACGGCCCAACGGCCTCAGTGCATCATGTGTGTAGCGGTGTAACACAGTAGCAGACAAATGAAACAACCTTGCCTAAGACCGCAATGCTGTCAATGTTGGTCAAGAACCGTGTGTTGTCAAACGGTTGCGCATATCTGGGTGGCCAGGACAGGCTGGGCATCGAGCGCTTGACCACTTGACAAAGTTCATCGCAAATACATGTCCCAGAAGGCTGCATGTGAAGCTGTGGCACATTTGGATGCTCACAATCATGGCTAGTGACCAATGTGAACACGTCCGTTTTGGCATCCTTGCCGGGAGGCTCAGAGAGTTGCCATGGGCTGAGGCGAAAGAGCGGCAGCGAATCACGTTGTTGACAAGTGACTACAGTGGAGGGGGCTACTGACGGGAACGGTAGGAAGAGGGGGTGCGACTCGTCCGTATTGCAACCGGACAGTCCAAACAGCAACCAAAACGGGAAGTAGCAAAACCAAAACACCTTCATCACAACCAGGTAAAATTCGACACCAGGTATTACGCTTTGTTGTTGAAAAGTTTCAGGAGCTGAGTGGAAACATTTATAAAACAGCTTCTTTCTCAACGCAAACGAGGTTTGATAGGGACGCTGTTTCATCAGGATAAGTGTCATGAAGACTCCTCATGCGTGCTGCCTGGACAACACTCAATTTGTGATTTGGGAATCTGTTTCCTTTCCCAGCTAGACTTATCACCTCACTAACATGCCTTGGAGTTCCAATCAACAAAGGCACCGGTATGGGGAGCTCAGATCAGGAATCAAGGTTGTTTTTCTTTTGGTGTTGTTTGCGGATTTCGGACTCAGAGATTGCGGTGCATGGCGAGCGTCCACGTTTTGTTTTTGCATTGAGGGGCGGGAGGTTGACCAGATGCGCTGTTTTCTCGGCAGGCACAAGCCAAGAGGATATTCACGATATTCATTGGCAGTCTCCATCCATGACCCTGGCAACCTTGGGACGAAACATGTTTTGGCCAGATGTGGGTCGGGTAGCTAGCCATAGGACGTCACAGGCATCAAACAAATTCTTGCTTGACACTTAGCTTGAGAGCTACGCGACTGATCTACTGAGCAGCACGGCCCACCACAATGCAATAGTCATAGCAGTTGCGAAGCAGAGTCACCGGCATACCAGTCGCGTGATGTGGCGTGCATGGCTGCCAGTGCGACTGGTCCAAAGAAGGCTGGTTGCCAACCACTGGCGTGTGACAGCCCGCGGTGCAAAGATCTTGCGCTGGGATTGTGATACTCCACTGGCTCGGGAGATGGCGGCCTATCCTGAGGCAAGCGATTTCCTTTGTTTCTGCTTGGAACGTGCAAATGAATTTTCCAAGCGAGACTGGATCGCCTCCCTCACATTGCTGACAGTAAGGAAGCGCTTCAGCATAGCCCTACCACAGTTTCAGGAATACAGCCAGCTTTTGGTATCGAGAGCTGACGTGCACTTCCATGACAGTGTGCACTTGCTGCTCCATCGGTATGGCGTTCTCGGATATGCTCCAGCTGTTTGGCAGTTGCTTCCGCTGATGGTGGCCCGGGTGCCTTTGATGACCCCGAAGCAAATCTCGCTTTGCGCCTGGGGCCTTGGGAACTTTCAGACAACATCAAACATTCTTTTGAGTCTCTTTGGACAGCTTTTTTCCTCCAAGTGATATGATAGTTTTTTTCCTATTGCCAACGCAACAAGGAGAACATTGGTCCACGATGATGAAGCTTGGACAACACTCGGAGCTGCCCTTTGCGACCAAGCACGTGAGTTTGCACTTGCAGATTTGGCAATGTATGCTTGGGGGCTGGCAGCGGTCGACCGTGTTTCGCCTTCAGAGATTGTGGTGCTGAAAGAATCGGTTCGCAATCAGCTTCTTGGGCAAACTCTGCCAGAGTCGAGCCACAATCTCTGCATCCTGTTGAAGGCTGTTGGCAAGCTCACACCTGACGACCGGCGCTTCCTTGAGTGGCTCCTGCTGCTTATGCTTGAGGCCATGGAGACACGAACCATTTCCTTTTCTGCACAAGGCTTGACTGGCATTTGGGCAGCATTAGGCATGTTGAAATGGCGGCCCGAGGATCGCATGCTGGAGGTTCTTTGCGAGGAGTCGCGGCGCCTGCGCTTGGATCACACCTTCAATCAAGACATGGCCGCAGAGCTGGCGCGGGCGCTTCTTGTGTTGGATGTGGATGATGCTCGGCCCGTCTATCAAGTCGCAGACTACGTTGCAAGGCGCGGGCTATCCTTGCGAGCTGATACTCTGTTGGTGTTGGCGGAGTTTTTTGCAGCAAGGCAAGTCAATCACGATGTTGCCTGGAAGAGACTGGGAGTGCGCGCCCAGCAACGTGGCGTGGATCTGCGGCTGCGTGACATCGACCGCCTGGTCGTAGCTTTCCGGCGTGCAGGGCGCGGCAATCAGCGCATTTACGGTATGCTGAGCTTATTTCTCCGGCTGCGCGAAGACCAGGCGAAGTATGGCGCGGCTTGAAAAAGCGGGGGCGGAACGCAAGAGGTCCTGTTGCTATCATGTAGGCATGCGCGCTATCCAAGTCCTTACAAATCTGGGCCAAGCTATGCCTGACAGGTTTGGCCTCGCGGTACAGCAGCTGAAAAATGTGTGATCAAATGCTATCATCTCTAGGGACTCTAGGGATTCCATCTTCGTGGCAGCGTCCTGTCCTCCCAGAGACTTATCCTGGGCAAGGCGCGCCCTATCCCAACATTGGACTGATCTGCACATTCACCCGCAGGCTCACAAGAACTCAAGAATGTCCGAAACGAAAGCCAAAAGGCTACAACATATAGACTTCCCTGACTACTGCACAACACTGCCATGTGTGAAGCCCAATGAGTGCCTGGCGATGTCTTGATAGTGCGGGTGCCCAACATGATAACGAGGTGGACTTGTAAGCGTGCGCCACAAGACCTAAGCCCCCAGTACAAAAGAATTACCGGGCCAGGAGTTCATCGCAGATGGCAGGGGTAGAGAAAACCAGCAGGGCAGGAACGCTGGACGCGTGCTTTGTCAAGTCAATTGTGTTCGTAGGCTAATTTTCAAGTGTTGCCGATGTGCAGTTGCTTGTTCTCTTTGCACGTAGCCTCGGGCTTTGAGCTTGGCATGTGGACACAAGATAATTCAAGCATCTCCGCATGAATTCCAAGCATGGTCCTATGGATCTACAGCAGAGTGGGCAGCACTCCTGATGAAAAGCAATGGATCCAGAAGTTATTGAATTTTAAATCATGATTTAATAGTTCTCCGTAGGTACATTGATCAACCTACCTTTGGGACAATTAAATCAGGATTTAATATGTCTGG